AAAATCCATTTTTATTGAACCAAAAAGAACCTTAATTTTTCTTAGATGATTTAAATCCTATTCGCTTCTAATTTGGGATGATCTTGCAAGTAAGAGACTATTCACTCTCACTATAGAATTCCTTCTATTTTTTTGATTATTGTTAATCATTAAGAAAATTACACACCTGACTGCATTCCAGGAGCAGCAGATGCCTTAACATCCTTGCATTTTGATCTGAAGGCCTCTGCCAAGATCTTGTTCATGTAAACTTTCCAGCAATTTATATCCAACTCCTCCTTCTTGCGCAGAAACTCAGCTTCCTTCTCCTGAAGTTTAGCCTCATATTTTGCATTGATTTGAAAAATTTCCTTCTCCCAGTCAGATTTCAGCTGCACCTTCTGCTCAAAGGAAAAAAGAATTTCAGCAAGGAAAAAGAAAAACAAATAAGTCTTCTTTTTGTCAGAGGACCACGAGAGAGAAAACATAATTTACCGTTTCTTCGTGGATCTTGAGGACTTCATCAGATTCTTTTTTTAGTCTTTCCATCTCATTTTGAAGTGGGTCATTGTGCAGCGGCAGTGGCATCTGGTATGGTACTTGGTATCCAGTCTGTAGAGGACGATAATATGGAGCAGAAGGGATTGATGAAGTCCTTGCAGCAGAAGTATAAGTGCTGAAGCCATCAATAGTATCAGTTGGCAGATGTCCTGCAGCACCAACAGGAGGCTGCAGAGCAGCTTCACTGGGAAGCTCGTTATAGTTCTCCACCACCTGTCTTGAATCCTGAGTAATTGGGGAGGCAATAAGGCCTTCACTGCTCAGCTGATGGGGTAGTGACGGTTCATCTTGCTGGGGAATATTTTGCATTTCACTGCTCAGCTGATCAGGTACAGGCAGATGTTCAACTTGATTCCCAGATGTAGATGGCAGAGAATGTACATGGTTTAAGCCCTGTCAAGAAAAGGATTTGTAGGTAACAATTGCAATGCTAAATCAATTTCCATTTCAACTTCTCAGCAGCACTCTAATAAGAGAGATTTACTAAAATCTTAAGAAGCATCTCAATCACATATATAGAAATCCAGAAGAGGCCATGTTATTGTTAGTTCATTTACATTGTAAGGTTCAAAACAATCCTCCAGAATCTCCAAGAAATATATCCAAACAACATTCTAATGAGTACCTTGGTATAACTCTATCATTGTCCAAAACATACCAATCATAACCAAGAAAGAGCTATAGAGAAAGAACGATATATGAACGATATAAATGGCCATACATTCTTGTAGTTTTTATACTTATATTCTACCTTATTTGATGGTGTGCAACCACCTTGGTCTGAGGTACTAACAGGCTGCAGAGAAGGAGAATCCACTAGAGATGACTCCAGGTAATTAGTTTCCTGATAAACAGCACAACCCGCTCCATCCAGCTGGTCCATTCCAGCAGCATTGTTGGAGGCTACGATGCACGCTCTATTAGTCCCTTCACTGGAGTTATCACCAGCAATTATCTCTGTTGGAGCAGTCTCTTGCACCTCAACTGTAATTTCTCTATCAGAAACTAGCTCTCCTGTTGAAGGTGGAACCAGAGAGTCATCATGCTCCAAACCAACATTAGACGCATCAGTCTCAGGCGATCTCAGTGAAACTTCTCCATCTGGCACACATTGTGTGGCTTGATAAGGAGTTTGATTATCAGATGACTGGATATCCATAGACATAATGCCCTCTGGGGCTTCAATATAATTCAGAGTCTCAACTCCATTTCCTATTGTCGTCGAATTAGGGATTTCTTGAACTGAGGATGGTGCTTCCATGGAGGCATACAGCTGAATCTCCCCATCACGCACACTTGATTGAGCCCCATTGTCAGTCTGATGTTGACAAGAACATGTTGCAGGGGGAACATCTGGTGGCCTACGATTTGCAGTAACTGGTCGAGGGGAGTTTGATTGAATCTCTCCATCTGACATGTCTCCAACAGCAGCCTGTTCTTTTGATGAAGAAGCCAGAGAGAGAACATTCTTTGGATCATTGGCACCAGCACCAGCTCTGTCATACGCCTTCAATCCTTTAACTGACATCACATCAACTGTCCTGACCCCACCATCTGATGTGATATTTACAACCTCGTCACAATGCGCTACTTCCACAGGCCCATGCTTATTCAAAGGAGGCTTTACTAATTCAACTTGTGCCCAGGATCGAACTCCTTCAACCCAACTAGCCTCCTTCTCTTGCAACTTGATCCTTGCAGCAGTATGTGCTGCCTCAAGACTGTTAAGGTCTAAGTCCATCTGGTGCTTGAGCTTGTCAAACCTTTTTGCATATTCACTATCTAGTTTCTTAAGCTTATCAGTTTTCGTTTGAACATTACTACACAAACGAATAACAGCCGCCTCCATCCTTTTCTTGTTCTCCAGTTGAGCCTTTTGTTCCTTATACTTCCTGTCATAATCCAAGTTCTCTTCCTCTTGCTTTTGAAATAGCTTCATCATCTTCTTACGAAATTTCTTCTGAATATCTTTGATACTTTTTGAGAGATCTTTCTGAGCTAATTGAAAACCCAGCGCAAATCCAGGCTCAAGAAGGGTTTGCTTAGAGGAGTACTCCTGACCCTGCAATGAGTCCCCAATCTGTACTTTCATCTTTCGTGAGTCAAATGTTCGGGACAGACATGTGACCAGATTATCTTCACCAACAGCTTCCGATTGTGCAGGATTTTTTAGAGAGCATGCCAACTCTAAATTCTTTGCATGGCATAAGAACAAACTCTTTAAACACTGCAACATGGAGTAAACGTATTCAGCCTCTTCTTTCTTGCAGCCAAATTTCAGATGCTCTTTTGCAAGTGCAAGAGATTCCTTGTGATCAATTTTGTGCTTTAGCAAAGAGGCTGAAGTCCAACACTGAAATTTTACAGCATGAAAGACATTATAATTCAGATATGTAGCCAAGATTTTCTACACACATTCATACCATGCTAGAGAGAGAGAGAAGCAAAAATTGCATCCACATCCCTGTACAATAAGGTGGATGGTTAATGTATTAAAAATATGTTTACAAAATGCGCTAATCCTATACTGAACCCAATGTAAAACTTCCACAATTGTAGAAGTTCCTCAAATGTCCATCCAAATCAGTCAAACTTTCTACTAGAGAGAATTAACTGACTTAACTGTCCTTCGTGAAACTTTATAAGTCAAACTGACCCATTTATAACATTGACTGTTTTGACGACCTTGGTTTTGTTGTCGATAGGTTAATGTAAATGGGCGGTACCCCCATGGCAACTTTACATCAATACATATTTACACTTTCATTTCAAAAAAAATAAAAAAACTGACCCACTTATTTTTCTTTGTTTTTAGTAGTTAGACAACTATAGAAGATTATGCTTTGAAGTTGAAAGAAATTTTTATAGGAATGTTTTGCTGTACTAGCTGTTGAATTGGTAGACAACATTCTCATATTTAATAAAAGGTATCCTAAATGGTTTGATTATAAACAACTTCAACTCAAGGGTGCACCAAAATATAAGAATGATTAAATTTTTGTAAAAAAATACAAAAGAGGTTGGCATCTTGACCAATTCAAAGATTAAAAACTTAAAGCTGAGCTCTAACATATACAAACTCTGACTTGAGAATTGCAGATGCCGCAACACTGCAAAAATTGAGGAAGAAGTACGTTCCTAGCAGACTCAAGGACAGGGCACATGAGATGTTGCACGAATTTGAAGAGTAAGAAGTTAAATATACCCCTATTAAGAGCCTAAAAAGGATGATTTGTCATAATTAACTAACAAGGTGCATCTAATAAACTATTGCCAATATTCCATGGAGAATTTAGTGGACCTTTTTGATACTTTGATTGACTAGTAAATTTTATACATGGGCGGCACCTCCTTGGTGTCTATATCAATATACTTTTCACACTTTAAAAATATATATATAAACTAGTGTTAATTTAGAGAAAGCTCAATGAATCAACTTCAACAATACTCAATTATACAGCACATCAAGTTTATGATGAGGAGGATTATGTTCAGAGTCAACATATACACGAGTTGGATTAAAAACATTTT